TGAGTTCATTGAAATCAGCTTTCCTAAAGTCTAGCACTTTCACCCTACTAGTTACCTTACCCACTCGACATCTTATGATGAATTCTATTATTTGGTGATCACTGTCCCCCAGGTGACCACCGATCTGTAGGTCTCCTACCATGTCATCCCCCGTTGCCAATACCAGGTCCAGTAAGGCGTCCCTCCTAGTGGGACCATGTACCTCCTGCATCAGATGGAGGTCCTGTACACAGGATAGGAACCTGCGTAAACGGTGGGACTTTGCTGTCTGCGTCTCCCAGCAGATGTCTGGGTAGTTTAGGTACCCCATGACTACCGCCTCCCTAGTTTTTATGGTTTTAAGGTTGAGAGAGCCGAATCTCTTCAGCTTTCACAAGAGATGGCTGAGGGGAGATCTTGTGGCCGCCTATAAATTTATTAGGGGAGGTCAACGGGGAATAGGGGACGCGCTGTTTACTAGGGTTCCCCAGGGAGTGACTAGGAATAACGGATGTAAACTTGTTGAGAGTGGATTTAGGTTAGATTTTTAGGAAGAATTTTTTCACAGTAAGGGTGGCCAGGATCTGGAATGGGCTTCCAAGAGAGGTGGTGCTATCACGTAGCTTGGAAGTCTTCAAGAAAAGGCTAGATAGTCACCTGGCTGGGGTCATCTGACCTCGGTCCTCTTTCCTGCCAGGGGCAGGGGGTCGGACACTATGATCCATTGTGGTCCCTTCCAACTCTACAATCTATGAATCTATGTATCATGGGGACTTCCTGGGGCTGCAACAGTGGCGATCCTACAGCTTGGAGAGTGCCTTCCAGCGGCTAGGCTCCGGTTCTGAGTGGCCCTCGCATGCGCCGGTCTGCTTTTTTTTTGCATGGGTTTTTTTGACCCCGGATATCTAAGGGTCAAAAAAAATCCCTGTGCTGCTTACTTGCAGTGTGGAGAACAGCTGAATGTACAATATGTGGCGCTGCAGAAATGTCTGCGGCACCACATATCGTACGGCCATGCTTGTCTGGACACCGCCTTTGAGTCAGCAAAGCTAAAGGATGTTCCTGGAGCATTCCTCCTGCCTCCAGTAACTGAATCTCCTATTCCTCTAGCTATGGACATGCTGCACCTCTTTTGTGTTAATTTGCTGCACTAAATGCTTCAGGTTTTAATATCTTCTTTGGCCTTTGCCAGTCTGGGAGTTGATGGTTTCTCTTATACCAGGAGCACATTTCTGAGGATAGGTGGCTTGACTGTGGTTCTTTTACTTTTTAAGTTTCTTCTTTCATTCCTTACTCCATCCATTTATCAAGTCTTTTATTTCTCTCAGGCCAACAGTGCCACTTCCTGGCCTCCTTGCAGCATTACTTCTGAATTATTTTATGTTGCAAACTTATACCAGGTATATGGCCCTCTGGAAAATGAGAGATGTAGTTAGTCATGTTAGTCTGAAGTCAAGAAGAAGGCAGTATAGATTTGCACCTGTAGACTAACCAAAGTAGATGTTAAGTGTGTGTGTGTGTATGTGTGTGTGTATAGATATGTGTGTGTGTGTGTGTGTGTGTGTGTGTGTGTGTGTGTATAGCACATCTAAGGTAGTTAGTCTATAAGGTGCAAATCTACCCTGACTTCCTTCGGAAAATACCAGAGTTAAAAACCAAAGAACAGCCGTGCTCTGAACATCTTTGACATTGCACTCTTTTTAGTACATTTTAATGTTGCCCATAGGTCGGGTCAGCGTGACCTGTTTTCCTGCTTTGCAGGATTAACTGAACTCAGTATTGCTGTGTTCTGTTCACCTCAAGCTAGAGTTTTGCTATAGGTGAGACCTTTCATGTCCCATAGGTCTTGTCTGTAGTGAACAAGGATGACTGGAGGTGGAGGTGGGGAAAGTGACCTGTTTGAATAGCTGTGGCATATAGATGTTCTTTTCCTTCTTTAGGAATGGAGTTTTCAGGTGTTGTGATGGAGACAGGAACAGATGTCAGCACAGTGCAGAAGGTAACTGGCATGAAATAGGGCTCGGGTACAGGAATGGAATCATGGTATCTAGCTGACCAGTGAGGATGGGGATTCATTACAGGGATTATCTTTAATCGTTTTGTGGTATGTTCTTGAGAGCTCTGCTAGACAGGAGTTGTCATGGTCCAGACTGGCTTGCTTAGTGGATAGAGCCATGCATGATGCTGAGGGTTGCAGGGGTAAGGGTTGAAAGCTACATGTCAGGAACCAAAATGCCAAGCCAGGGTCAGGAGCTGGCAGTCAGAAGCCTAGGTACCAAGTCTAAAGGATAATTCACAGGGCAGAGTCCAAAAGTAAGCCAAACCGAGGTCAGGAGTTGGGGAAACAGGTCTGTAGGGAGAATGCAAAAGCTGAAATCAAGGAGCAAGCTAAAGGTGTAGGGTCCAAAACAAGGGAAATCAGAGGTGTTGCTGAAACGAAAAGGTTTTTTTTTAATATCTATAGATATGTCTATAGATATAGATAATCTCACATCTACCAAAAACTGTCCTGTGTCCACTGTGGCTCATCTGACAGTCCAACAAACTCATCACTGCCATTACATCATACACATTCCCACCATAATCTGCAACACATATCTGTACACCCTCCTGTTCACTGAAGACCAGTGTGTTGGGAAGCAAGGCTCAGGTGCTGGAGGAGTTCCTTAAGTGGAGCTTGAGAACCATTCAGAGGGAAGGGGCTAAGGGTCAGCTGGCCTTGATTAGTAGTAACTGTGTTATTGCACTTAACAAGGGCTGCAGGGCAGGAGCCTCACAGGAGTGTGTGGAAGAGTTTGGGTGTTGTTTTCAGAAGAGGATTAGGGCAAGACTCAAAAATGTGTGTGATTATTTCCATGACTGACCAGACAGTTGTCAAACATTGTTTATGCTGTTTGTTTTTTCCTGATAAAATGGGAAAGCCAAACATTTAAATTAGAGAGTGAAGCAGGACCAAGTGACTCTTCTCACTCTAATACTTGTCCACTAACAATTTTTTTGGCAGGGAGACAGAGTACTTGGCGTGACAAGCTCCAAGGCAATGGCTGAGGAGTGCATTATTGATCAGAAGGTAACAACCATTTTTAATATAAATTTGTATTCCATTACAACAAAGATTTTTATGTCTTTTGTTTGGCTCCTATTAGATCATCTAGCTTGTGACTTCATTTAGGATGATTTTTTTTTTGCCCTTTCTGTCAGTAACTTTAGGATTTGCGATGTAGCTTGCCCTGGAGAATTCTTGCAAAGATGGAGTAGATTGATAAGAGAAATTACATTAAATATTGCTCAGGTGACATTAACAGTTTCTTATCCTGTACCTTCTAGTGAATTGTGACAACATGCTTCTGAACCATGTTTATGCTGCATTAGAGAGGCGTTTCAGAATACAGAACTTCATTCTTTGTTTCTTTCTGGAATTAATGTGTTGCTTTGTCTTCTTATGCAGATGCTATGGCAGATCCCAGATGGTGTGTCTTACGAACACGCTGCTGCACTGCCTGTGTCTTATGGCACAGCCAGCTTGGCCCTTGAGCGAAGAGCACACACACAGCCAGGGTAAGTGACTGTGGGAGCCCAGAGCACTACATGGGGACCAGTACTTGGCACTGGCATACTGCTTATCCTCTTTAAAAAAAACAACCCACAAAGAAAATCCAAAAAACAAAAAAACTATATATTTTCTCATATAAAACACACCCCAGAATATAATATGCTCATTGTTTTTGAAAGGCAGAACGGAAAAAGGGTCTTTCCTTGTAGTAAGTAGCAATAGATAGGGAGCAGAGCATGCTCATTGTTTTGCATACTATTAATTGTTCCAAGTGAAACAAAGTAAAATCTGCAAACCACAGAACCTGTTCATTTCTCACATACAGTGTGCACTCCAATTTCCAGTAGCTGCTTTTTGGGAAAAAGGTGTGTTGTCTGCAAGAAAATAGGATAGCACACATGCAGACTGTCTTGAAATCTAATCTTTCATGCTGTGCCCCCCCCAATGTGGTAGTTTTGTTGTCATTTTGCAGATGTGGAAACTAAGCCCCTCTTAGGGCAGATTTCAAGATGGATGTAGTCTCCTGGGAATAACAGGAATTCCGAGTTTCTAACTGCTTAGTCACTGAGCTGGCCTGCTTCTCTGTCCTATTGGGAGCGGGGCTGCAAGGTTTCCCTGAGCCCTGTTTCACAGTTAATTTGCCAAGAATATAATAGAATTTGGAGGGTGTTGTGCTACATCAAGTAGAAGGTGAAAACAGGTCAGATTATCCTGAGAGCATTAGAATCACAAAGCAAAATAGAACTGTATAGCCACCCAGTGGACATACAGTGCAACACTCCTGAAAAAGGTGCAGATTTGTAAACATTAATATTGTACAAGAAAAATTAGAATAAACCAGTGGTTCTTAACCTTTTTAGTTTCAGGGCACCCTTCCACAATTTTTTAATTTGGTGGCATCCTTGGTTGAGAACCACTGTTGTTCTACCTCAGTGGTTCTCACCGATGGTGATGCCGCTGCTGCCACCAGGTAGAAGTGCCCCACATGCCTCTTACACAGCCAGACCTGGAAGGGCTGCAATGAGCGCACGCTCCTCCTGCATTAGGTTATCAGATAAGCTTAATATAAGCAGGAGTGCCCACTTTTGCTGCAGCCCTGTTTGATTTGAACCCACATGACATCTCTTAGAAACAGTCCCAATTGTCCCAGATAGCCTTGTCTCATGCACCTCTGTTTCCAGGAGGAGCTTGGAGGGGTCTGGACTGGGAAGGGCTGCAGCATAGGCACTTCTGCCTGCTTTAGCCTTATCAGAAAACTTTAATGCGGGAGGAGCGTGAGTATATGCAGTAACCCTTCCTGGCTGTGCACAAAGTATGTGAGGCATTTTACCTGTGGGTGTGACAGCACTGCCCACACTGCAACACTCCTGGGAGGGTCTTGTGGCACTCCAGTTGAGAAGCACTGGAACAGACTATTAGAAAAATAGATTGGCTACATGGCCAGTAAGTCATTTCCGATATCTTTGTACCCCACTTACTCCTAGGAAGACAGGCACATTTTCTAGAATAGATTTTGTAGTCCTTTGGCTATGATTTTTTTTTAATGTCCCTAATGATGCATCTACTTTTTCCTTTTGGAGATTATGCCACAATTTGGTCTTGTAGGGCAGTGGTTTTCAAATTTCCTAAACTTATGGAACCCTTTCATATCACTTCTTCTGCTGTGGAACCCCTACCTCCATCCTGAAGACTGACAGAGAGCCAGGTGACCCAGCAATGGCAGTGCATTGCCTCCTGGCCTGCTCCACCATTACCCCCAATCTCTTTGCAGAACTCCCAGTAAACTATCACAGAACCTCAGGGTTCCTCGGAACAGTGTGAGAACCATTGTTGTAGGGTATTTTCCATGGAAGGCTCTGTCCTCTAGTACCTTCTTCCATCACTGCCCTGTCAAAGTCCCAGTCATGTTTTGCATTCCGGCCAAGGGTGGTAATTACAATGGTGGAGTTGCATATTTTATTAGTGAACAGGAGACTTGCAGTGTTGATGTTGGAGCAGCTTGGTGGTCTGGAAATATGGCCTTTGCTTAATGTGGGATAAATCCTTGGCTCATACTGTGAGAAATCCCTGCAGAAATTCTGAGACCAGTAGTACCTTAACATTTAGGAAGACAGGTTAAAGCACCATGTAGAACTTGGGAGACATCAGTTTTTCTTCCTTTCTCTGTCACAGATTTGTTTTAGAACCTTGGGCAACGCTCTTAATCTCTGTGCCTCAATTTCTTCATTTAGAAAATAGGGATAATTGTTTACTTCAAAGAGGAATTTGAAAATAAAGAAAAATACTAATATTTATAAATGCCTCTGGAGAGCTGAGATGTGCTGCGGTGATGTGAGTCATGTAAACTTAGATGGGAAGCAGCTGTAATGAAAGGGCAGTACCTTGGTCAGCAGATTTTGCATTATATATTTTAATTTTGCTCAACTCTCAGAGCCTGTGTGAGGGTATGTTTAGAAACTAAGAATGCACAAATCAGTTGAGAACTTCTGAATGACTTTTAAAATGGCCTGTTTTACACAGGGTTTGATACCCTTGCAAAGCTCTTCATTAAAAGAGGAAGCTTCTGTATACAGAATGATTTTTATAAGCCATAGACAATGTGTTTTGAGCTGAAACTAATTCCATATGGGATATGGCTGTGAAATAGCTGGCAGGAACTGGATGTATCCCAGGCAAATTTTATCCGAGTCAACATTGTTGTGTAACTGAAGGATTAGTCTTGCTGTCCAGTATCATTGCATGCTGTGTATTGCTCTGCTGATTTATTGTAAGGCAGCAGCTGTCCTTTTGGAAAAGCAGGCTTATAGTGTTATACTCGGATCTTAAGGGAAACACTGATGCTGTTGAAAGCCAGGGAAGCTCGTGGGGAAAGTTTTCACTGCTGGCCTGGGGTTTGGAAATGCAGAGAGTGTCTTTGTGACTTCTGGAACAATGGTTCTCAATCTTTTAAGACTCAAGGCACCCGCTCAATAACTTTTCACAATTTAGTGGCACCCTATTTAAAGATTAATTTATATCTTACAGAGCTTACCTCCTTGTACACTGGAGCACCTATAAAGGGATGTTGCAGGGTAGCAGGCAGCGCTGCACAAGGCATCCCTGAGGACACGGCGGGGTGATGCATGGTGCTTGGAGTTGCTAGGGCAGGGGTGGGCAATTATTTTTTTTTGGGCAGCAGGCCGCTTACTGAGTTTTGGCAAGCCATCAAGGGCTGCATGACAGGCAGCCAGGGGCAGATAAATATTAATTTTCTAAATTTTTTAGGGGCCCCGTGGGCTGGGTAGAATGGCCTGGTGAGTTGCATCTGGCCCATGGGTCACATTTTGCCCACCCCTGTGCTAGGGGCTGCTAGGTGGGGCAGATGTGGGATCTTGGAGGTGGATCATTAGATCCCTGGAAGAGACAGCTATCCCTGTAGGAAGAGGAAAGTGGGTGGCAGTGGCCACTGGTGTAAAGGCTGGTGCCAGCTGAAGGTGACATATAAGCATTCACAAAATGCAGAAACTTTCTGATCAGATTACTTCACTTTCATTTGAGTAGAGACAAGGTAATGTTCACTCAAAGGAGAAGACAAGCTCCCCCTGGTGGTTCCTCTTGGGAAGAGTGTGATAATATAATACTGATAGTACAGAAGATGGGGAATACTTTCCTACTACTGAAATGTGGTCATTTGGTTGCTGGAGTATTTTTAATCGAAGTAATTTTTCATCAAAATTACTGGATGAATAGCTATTGCTCACAGGAAAGCTCACATTCAAAAAGTAAGGAAATGCTCTTCTGTTGTGTTAAGAACCTGTTTATTTCATTCTTTCTCTTCTCTCTCTCTCTCCTAGGGAAACAGTTTTAGTGACAGCAGCTGCTGGGGCCATGGGACTTGCTACTATTGATATTGCAACCAATGTTTTTAAGGCAAAGGTATTTCCTTTTTTAAAACATATCCATATTCTCTGTGCACATCCTGCCATAATGACCATACCCTAGTGTAGGATATTCAGGATTCAAAGACCATCAGAAACATTAATGAATTAAGCTTCGCAAAGTGGGTGACCACTATTCTCTGTTTTCCAGGTGGGCCTACCAAGGTATATATTTAGACTCAGAGTTGCCCAAGATATTAGTTGGCAGAGCTGGGAAAAAGAACTCAGAGACTTCTTAGGACAGAGGGGCTGGTAATCCAGAAATCCAGCATTTCCCAAATCATGGTGTGTGCCTTCTTGGGAGATGGGGGCACAGAAGTTTCCTAATGTGGCATGTGTGAATCATAGCAGCAATCAGCAATGCCTCCCTACTTCAGTCACTTTTGCACCTTTTACTTTAGCTGCCCCTGCCAACTTCCTTCACCACTGATAGCTGCCAGGGGGCGGAATTGGCAGCTATCAGCAGTGGGAACCCTACCATAGTGAAGGTGAGCACTCTTGCATCCTCCTACTTCAGCCACTGCTGCTGATTTCCTCTCCTCCCTCCCCCCAACCATTGCCTGCTGGCAAAGGGAGCTGGCGAAGAGAAATGGTGGCAGCTAAAGTAGCAGGGCACAGGTGCCCACCTTCGGTGTTGTGGGATGTAAACTCAAAGTTTGGGAAATGCTGCAGTAAGCCAACTGACCCCTTCCAATAATACCAGAGACTACCTACCACATTTTTCCTCATAAAACGGTTGTCTTCTACTGTGCCCCAGTATGGATCCTCATTGCTTTCTTTAATTCTTTCCATTACTAGTTAGTTCTTTTAACCAACTGGGAAGTACAGGGGATGACCTAGAGCCTAATTCATATTAGAAGTCATGGTCATGGGCTTCTAAGTCTTTTGCATGGTTTGAGGAATTTTAGCCAGGTTCTCCTTGAGATATGAACCAATATTGATCTAAGGGAAAAATAGTGTTTAATGGATATGGGAAAAAAGCTTTGGACTTTTACTTCCAACCTCCCAATAAAGATAAGGTAACATCATGCTTTTTTCATTCTCCCCCCACTAAAGTATAGAAGACGGTTTCATAGTCATGCATTAATTACCGTGCTGAAGAGTACTGTGCAAAGTGACAATGTATAAATAAGTCCAGTTCAGACCATTTGCTATGTTCAGAAGGCTCTAAGAAACCAAAAACTCTGTCTGGATATATTTGAAATAAATGATTCAGGGGTTTATATTCTCCCTTCTGAATTAAAGCCTGCTATGCTGCTGGATGCTGCTTTTGATGAAGTCTAAAACAGGTTCTAAAAACATGTAGTAATTCAAAATCGAGTGGCATTTTCTGTAAGAACAATAGTGTTTAACTCAGTACCAAGTCTGGTTTGGATAATTGTACCCTGCAGTTTCAGCTGGATATGGTATTGTTCTTCAGTTTTATGCCCAAAGCTTTCATGAAATGCTTCTTTTTCTCTGTTAAACAGCTGCTGTTTTCCATCCCAAAGGTGGCTGCTTTCAGGGATGGGTAAAGAGATATGGTTTATGTCATATGGAAAACATGCTGGGATATTTTAATAGAAGAGACAGAACAGTTTTATAGCAGTGTAGCTTGTTGCAGTTAAATAGAAAGATCCCCAAGCATCTCTCTGGGCAGACACTGTCGTGCTGCGGGAGTGCAATGTTGGGTTTTTCTTGGGTCTGTCTTTCTTTTAGGTGATTGCAGCAGCTGGAAGTGATCACAAATGCAATCTGGCACTACAGAAGGGTGCCACACACAGTGTAAATTACAGCCAAAACAGCTTAAAAGATGAGGTGAAGAAGCTTACTGATAACAGAGGGGTCAATGTAGCAATAGATGCTGTCGGAGGAGACATCTTCAAGCAAGCGTTACACAGGTGTGTTGAAGTAAGATTCGCTTTAGATAATTTAGATCAGGACGGTCAAGTGTGTGATCTCTTGGGACCCTTCCCTCTAGTCCACAGCTCATCCTGCATGCTTTAGGGAGTATAAGGAGGCGGGAAATAATTTTACAAGATGGAACTTGGCCTTAGCAAGTTGCTCTCTGGAAAGAGTTATGAATCTCAGATCTTTAATGACCACAAGTAGGGCAAGGCTTTGATTTCTTTTTTTTTTTTTTTATGTTAGCTGAAAAGTGACATTTCAAAGACAACATTGCATCCTAGTGCCATCCTGGGATGTGGGTTTGGTATAGACTAAGAAAAAGAATGTCAGATATTAATCAGCAGCACCAGTTCGTCCAGCACCACAGCTGTCCTTAGAAGAATTGCATTAAAAATTTGCATGGAGCAGAGGTTCTGAAGCTTAAGAAAGCATCTTGTGGGCCTCCCTTGGTGGCAATTGCTTATTTTATCCCAATGGCAACTAAAGCAATTGTTCACTTGGGGGTGGAGAAATAATAAGAAAATATATTAATTGTTTTTTACCTATTCCTTTTGTGAGGTAAGACTGGAAACAGGATGGCTCTGGCCTTGTACAGACATTCAGGTTTTCTTGGGAGAGGTGGTTTCTCCTGGGAGAGTAGCAAAAGTGTATGGATGTTCAGGCTTTTTCTCCCAGAGTGAAAATGGCTGCTCCAGGAGAAAAAAAACTTGGGAACAACCAGGGCTAAACTGCTCATAGGAGAGTTTCTTCTGGGAGAGCGAATGTCTGTACATGTTATGGCTTCTCTTAGAAGAGAACATTGTCTCCCTGGGAATCCTGGTGAACCTTTTGTCAAGGTGTTTTTAAGCCTTTGTCAGAGGCATTGGGTGTTGGCTACAGCCAAGGCTGGGAAACTTTTGAGTAGGGTGTGCCAATGCTTCTGCTGGGACCAAAGCTGGAGGTTCCTGTCTAGGAGAACTGCCTTTCTACTCGGGGTCAGGCTGATCACCATATTTGGCATCAGGAAGGAATTTGACCCCATGGTCATATTGGTACGGACTGCATGGGTTTTTACCTTCCTCTATAGTGAGTGGCCCTCTACCCAGGATCTCTTCAGAATATATTGACAACATTTCATAGAAGCAGGACATTGGCTGATGTTGTTCTTCTGGTTTACCTGTGACAGATTAGGGTGTTAGCTCTGTTGTGTGAGGGTTGACACTAGTCTTATGTAGAGTTTAGATTATGGTTTGTATGGGATGGTTTGGATACATATGATCCTGCCTCTGGCAAGGAGTTGGAGTAGATGATCTCCAGAGGTCCTTTCCAGCCCTACCTACGTATGATTCTGTGTTCTTGCTAGACTCTGCTCCAGCAGGGAGCAGAACACACCTTATTGACAGTCCCACCATTGTGCTGCAGGGGAACACAGGTTGATCATGGGCAGTCTGGGTCAGCCAGTCAGGGCTGCCCTATGCACTGTTGCTATCTGTTGCCAGTCAGACTAAGGGAGCCTGCAGAGCATGCTGTGATAGGGCCCTTTCCCCTGGTTGCACAGTGTCAACACTAAAAGCTCTCCACTCTTCAGGATCTCAGCATTTGAATGACTGTACACACAACTCTGGATAAGTTTCTTTACCAGGAGAACAAATCTGGGAAAATTCTCTGAGATTATTTGAATGTGCGTGCAGCCTCAGTCAGCATTGTGTGATCAGCTGGCTTTCTGTAGGCCACCACAAAGAGCCTCTTCCATGCACCTTTTTATTTTACAAGTGTGGATGAAGTCTTTGTGCAATAGCAGAATGTATTGATCCCTTGTTTACTGAGCTAATGGCACTGAGGTCACTTTTGTATGGCATTCTATGAAGAGCCAGATTTGAATGCATTAAGTCCTGAGGGACTATAGCTTTGGCTTTGACCCTAAGCTTTTTTTCTTCATTAAATCAATCTTCTTTCTGTCCTTGCAGTTTGGCTTGGGAGGGCAGGATTGTGGTGGTGGGCTTTGCTGGAGGAACAATCCCCTCATTTTCAGCCAACCTGCTGCTTCTGAAGAATGTGTCTGCCATGGGAGTATATTGGGGTCGGTACCGAGAAGAGGAGTTCCCTCTTTTTTCATCCTCTATTTCCTCTGCTCTTCAGTACTGCCATGAGGGAAAGATTGAACCTCATATTGGAGAAGTTTTCAAACTGGAGGAGGTAAGAACTCTGCCCACGATGTCAATTCTTTTCAGGGTTTGCTCTTCTCCAAGGTATGCCAGTAGGAAAAAATGGGTTTCTAATCAGGTAGGCTACTGTCAGCACTCTGCAAAAAGGTGGAAAGGTTGGCCCCAAAACCTGAACTCATGTACCCCTGGGGCAAGAAGCAATTAAGAGTTGAACTAGGAAATGCATGAGACTGATCATCTATGCCTTAGTTTTAACTCTAAATTCCAATAATGGCAAAGCATCTGTAAATACTGCATAATGCAAATGCTGTGATTAAGTTCAGGAATATAGGTTGTGGCCGTATTGGTGTAGAGGCAAAGGCATTCAAAACTTGAGGAAGAGGCGATATGTATTTTATTAGACCAACTAGGTAGTTGCAAAAAATATATATATATATTTGCAAGCTTTTGGGCTCAAACACCCTTTTTCAGGCAAAAGAGAAGTCAAAGATTGTAAAATTTTGCCTAGATAAAAATGAAATTTCGTATCGCACAGGAGAGTTGGAGGATGTTATGGATCTCCTGGTTGGAAAAGTTCAGTTGAGAAGAGTTGCTCTATAGGTATGCAAATTAGGCTCGAACAAAGGCAGAAGCATGTTGATTACCTTAAATATGTGTGGTGGTAGGCAGGATGCAGCAAAATTCAGAATCGTGTGCAATATGAAGTTTCGTTTCTACCTGGGAGAAATTTTACAATCTTTGACTTCTCTTTTGCCTGAAGAAGGGTGTTGGAGCCCAAAAGCTTGCAAATACATTTTTTTTTTTTGCAACTATCTAGTTGGTTTAATAAAAAATATTGCCTCTTCCTCAAGAATTTTGGATGTGATTAAATTCAAACACTTCACAACCTGTTATGGTCTTGTGAAATGTCAAACTCTCAGGATTACGTTATATAGTCCTAATTTTTGTGTACAAGAGTGGGATTGTGAAATTCCATTTAATATGTGCAGAAGGATGGTACAGAACCCTGGTTTCCAAAATATGAACTGTTTTTCTTTACCCCCTTTCTTCCTGTTTTTTGGCTTAAAATTTTTACCAGTATATAATTATTTTGATAGTTATTTAACTTTAATATTTTGGTAATATGCGGTGGGAGCTCCATTGTATTAGGAGTTGTATAAACTTGCAGAAAAAGACAGTTCCTGCTGCACAATCTGAAAGATGATAACCTCACATAATAATATAATGGGATGAAACGTTAAAGGTGAGTTAGGGGATAATAAAGTGTCTTGAAATTATATTTTCCTTTCTGGAAGCCATCTCATGAATCAAAAATATTTCTGTTTTGGTAGTTTTATGACATTTTAGTTTCTAGGTGAGGGCAGTATGTTGAGACAATCAGATTATATGCTGTTTCCATCTCACAAATGGATCCTTGATGCAAAAAGTCCATGAAGAACCAACTGAAATTTGAGTGTTGAGTTGTTGATTCCTGCAGAACAAATTGTACAACACTTTTTGTATCACATAGGTAATTTAGAGTAATACATTATTATATTTATATTTCGCAATACATGGAAGTACACACCTTGCTCGGTATGTGTTAGTAAATACAGAAAGCAGCCATGTGGAATCTTGTGAGTGATAGAGTAGTGGCAGCAAGACTGAAAATGAAGTATTAGGAGATACAATCAGCAATACAGCTGTTTTCCTATGCTGCAAAACTTTGAGAAATTGGATATATTTTCTTGTTCTGCACTTGGACAAAACCAAGACCTTTCAAAATTGTGTAAACAATAAAGATTTTGTACTTGCAGGTAAATGAAGCCTTTAGCCATGTGATTCAGCGTAAATCCACTGGGAAGGTCATCATCTCAGTTAAATGAATCAGCCTGTTTCTACAGACACAACCCCCCTGCTGCTGTTATACTGTTTTGAAGAGGAGACTATCACTCTCAAAAGATGAAATAATTAGCATTGTCACTTTAACATTTTTTATGCAAGGCTCAAGTGATTTTTCACATGGTTTGTTTATCATCACCAGTAGCACAGAGGGGTTGGGAGTGGTTATGATTTAATGGGAAAAACATTTGCACTTTTGGCTTACTGTGGTGGAGGTGCAATAGTGCTTGACAAACAGTGTGAGGAATCCTAGGGTACATAAGTCTTTGCTATGACAAGAGAAGACATGTGGATATGCAGTTGATATCAATGTAAACAGAATCTGATTAAAAGTTTCACTGCTGGGAGATAATGTACTTACAGCCTCCTTGTGTTGTATACCACCTGGGCTTCTTACACTCTATTGATCCTGTCCTAGCTGATAGAGTGTATAGTGCACACTTCACCCACTCACTTCTTTCACATTGATTGCACAGGCTGCTTCCCTTTCTATTGGTGATGACATTGTTCCTTGTGTCAACTACAGGAACGGGAGGGAGGTAACTATTAGAGTTTATTTTAATGCCTTTTAAGAGCTGGAAAGAAGAAATGGAATTAAGCCTTTGAAGACCAGTAAGAGACAGCAATTTGAGACTCCCTGCCCTTGGGCAATGTAGAGCAGCAGTCCTGTCTGCAACTGTGTCTGAACAGCAAGCTAGAAGTGAACTGCTTGTGTGGGAGAGATGAAATTGAAATGAGAAGTAAAATAAGAAAGACAACAGGCAGCTGGACACACTCGCTTTAGGAGAGTGAACCAAACCATGGCTCCGTCTAGTTCAGTGGCAAAATTCCTTCAGGAGAAAGAAGCCAACCCCCAATAATCAATGTACCATGGAGAGAAAAGACTTTGCCCTTTCCCCCTGCATCAATTCAGCTTAGGTCCTAGGAGCTGAAACCATGCTCTAGTTACTTTAATAAACATAACAGCACGAAAGGAGAAACTCCGGTCTGAAACACTGTTAAGAAGCACATTTTACTTTTTCAACCTAGCTTAAAAAATCTGCACCCATAATGGACTGTAGGACATGCTGTAATAGATATGAAAATGTCTACTATGGGTCTCATGTTCGGTAAGAAAATTGTTAAATTCCTCCATATTGTTGCTGTTCCTGATTTGAGCCCAGTGGACGAGTTCAACTATTAACTACTCCAAACTCTTTGGACCAAAATGCACTTCTTTGGTTAACATGGCTTTGTTGCAGCTGTGGGTATCAGGTTGCCTTGCTCACATCCAGGCTGTTGTGAAGCGAAGACCAGATACTCTTCTTGTGCCCAACACGTGCCTTAGCATTTGTTATCATTCTCTAAAAGAAATCATTCACACCTTAAAAATGTGACTAATTATTCAGGTTATCACTGGCTTCCTGATGCAGAAAACATGCTTTGTTTGAGAGTCTTATATAGTTGCCAACAGCACAAAGAGTTTTGCAGAGAATAGCAGATTCAAATAAGCTGTGGGCTGAGGGACCATTAGTGCATGTAGTGTGTAGGCCTTTCAAATATTTACTGTTGTGCCAGAGATAAATGGTATCCTTTTTAAGGAGGGAGAAATTCAGCTGCCATCCAAAAGCAATTATGCACATGCTTAATTTATGGCTTCAAGTAGCCCTCTGCTTTGAGGTTAATGGTAGGATTTAGGCCTATGCTTAGGTGCTTTGCTGAATTGGGGCCTATCACACAGCTCTGATTGAGTTCCCTGTCCTGTTTTGGAGTCTTGTACCCCAGCTTCATGTACTCTTGGATTACCATTGGCCTGAATAAACCGCAGCACTGTCCCTTGACCTCTCTGGTCCATTTCTAGCCATGGGTACAGACTCTGTTACACCTTCTCAGAATTGTCTCTCTTTAATCCCCAGGCCCCATGCTGATTCCCAATCTTGTAGGCATTATGGGTTTATAATTCACCTCTACAGGAATGTATGCATGACAGCAAACAGACGGATGGACTATGCAAGATTTCGTAAATACAACTGCTCTTCATTTTAGGTAGCACCAAAGGTGTGCAGCCCTAGATGCACAATATTGTTGATTTAAAAAACAACAAATATTGTGCATGAATTACATTTCTCAATGCACAGGAACATTCTTTTGTGCTTTTTAAAACCTTGCTGTTGACATCTGACTCCTTTGCTCTCCTGTTTGAGGATTCTTCCACCCTTCAAAACCAGGCCCCTCCAACTTGGTTGGACTTGTTTCTCAAATTTCAGCCATCCTTGTGTCCCACAGTGATCTCCCTTAAATGGGAGCCATGAAGATTTAATGCCTCTATTTTTATGGGTCAGAGGGATAAGACATACAGCCCTGACAGCATATGGCTGCCTTGGCTATATCGAGATGTTCAAGATACAGCAGTTTCATAACCTTAACCAGCATTCAGTACAAGGCCTATAACAGAAAGGATTTGATTAAGCCCACAGAGGGAGCCTATGTCAGAACTAGTATTAGAATTGTGGAATCCTTTGGGTTTATTCTTGTGTTTACCTCTAACTGACTGTACTGCCCTCTGTGCTATGGAGTTATCTACTGTGACTCCAGGTCATAGTAGCTGCTCAGCAGAAGAAGTTACTGTCTCAGATGCAGGCAGCCAGGGCGAAAGGAGTTTCCTGTTTCTTTCAATACCTGCATAACCTGTATTTGGGCCCTTAATTTTTTACCTCATCATTAATGTAACATTTTCACCTGCCTTTGTATTAATTGTCACATGCTTTGAATAAAAAAATATTTTAAAGAGAGAATTTAGAGAAGAAAATATTTTTACATGTCCAGATGTGTGAAGGGTTTGTTAATTTGTAAAATTACTCGTAATTGTTAAAAAATGAGAAAAAATACATGTAACTTATGGGAAGAGGCTCCTGTATTAAAAGCAATAATGGTTTACTGTTAAATTGAAGTGTTTATATATTAAGAGAGAGAAGCCTGGCTGGTATTAATATTAAGGGTGCACAGATAGAGATTTTTTGGGCCAATACTAATGGGCGATTTTTAATGAGCCATATCGGCTGCTACCAATCCGATTGCTGATATGCAGCCAGGCAGCTTGGAGAGCAGCATCTGGCTAGTAAGTCTTTTGTGAGGCAAGGGGCAAAAGGGATGCAGATCAAGGCCCCCATGGTGAGGGAAGGAGTGGGGCTGGGGCTGGGGCAGGTTCTGCCCAGCCAGAGCTCCCACTGCTGTGCACGCCAGGGCATAAGAGGCGTGTGCCCCCAAATCTGTGTGTGGGGCAAGGGTGGGCTGCTGCTGCGGACTGGGGCCAGGGGCAGTGCCGGGCTTTTCCCAGCTGGGGGCTGGGCCAGGCTGCGCTCGGGGTGGGTGGTGGCGGTGGCACTGAAGGTGATTATAGAGAGAGGACTGCAGCCACCCCAAAAATCATCGTAGCCCGCTGTAGCCCCCCCACCCAGTGCTGCTGCCGCCTGCCCCAAGTGCAGCCACAGCCCAGCCCCCCTGCCAGGAAGAGCCCAGCACCATCCCTGGCCTAAGCCCGCAGCAGCAGCTCACACTCACTCTGTGCACAGATCCAGGATCACATGCCCCCATGTCCTCCCAGGGTGTGTGCCACAGCAGCAGTTGCCCCCCCTGTGAACCGCAGCTCCATCCCGTGCCCTGCTTGCCTGTGCAGCCCCAGCTCCACTCCTTCCCTTACCGTGGGGTACTAGATCTGCCCCCTCTCCCCTCCATGCTCCTTCCCTCACAACAGACTTACCAGTTGGACCTGGCTGTTCTCCATGCTGCCAGGCTGTGCTCCTGGCCACCTGCATGCTACACTGTGGCTGCGCACATGCACAGTGCATTTATTGGTGACATTATTGGCCACATCAGCCAAAAAAAGCCGATTGCTGATACTGTCAATTTTCCTTATATCAGTGCCAATCTGATATGGGATCAATGTATCAGTGCACCTCTAATTAATATATATTAGATGTGGGTACTGAGTATCAGTGTAGACCCTGATTCTGTGCTTCGGTCCACGTAGGCAGACCCCTAAATCTCTATGAGACCCCTATGACTTCATTGGCCTGAATCTCAGTCTGCACGTGTAGAAGAATCCGTCTACAGCCCAGAGTGAAAGATTAGGGCTATAATAGACTGGTAGTTTGAGAACTAGGGAATTAAATGTAGGCCCATTTTTTTCTAGCTGACATGGATGCATAGGGTTTGAATCAGAAGACACTATCAATACCATCTGGAAGTTGGTTAGTGAACTTTGCCCAAGTCCTAAGAACAGCCATCTATATCATAAAAATGACCATCACGGTTGCAGTAATCGGCAACCTTTTAGGCAAGTGTTTCTGGAGTAGCTGAGGAATGGATGATTAACCCACCTGTTGTGGTTGAGAGGTCCTGTGAGGCCAGAAGTGGGGAGGATGCACTGTGCCTGCTCCGTAGACAAGGGACTTAAGTTTCCAGTCTGATGCCTTTCACAAACAGTAGGGGCCAAATTGTGCTTTCCTGCCTCTTCCTTGTAGTGCAATGAGGCTCAGAAAATGATCCATTTGTCCAAATACATCTTTGTGTGTATATGGGTTGAGAAGTGGACACGATCCAGCAATGTTTCATGCTCCTTTTGTCTGGTGCTGTAGAAGTGCCATTAGTGTGATCTTTGCATGCATGGGATTCTACAGTTTTGGGGAGAAGTCCCTCAGATCCTTTAGGAGAATGGTAGGCAACCTTTTCTTGCTGTGGACTGGAATGACCCATCTTGGGTCAGAGGCAAGTGGGTGCTAGGACCTGTCCACAGCCAGCACTGGCAGCGAGATGCTCATGCTGCTGAACACCGGTAATATCTGTCTCAGGTGGTTCAGATCATCTGACCAGATCTCTGTATACATCTTCCTCTGTTGAAAGATGTAGGGCCAGGTTTTCAAGTGCACCCAAACCTAGACCCAGATTTTTAAAAGAACTTGATATGTTTTGAGTGGAGTGTCACAGGACTAAGCATTCTTGAAAATCTGCCCTGTGATTTACTTGTGCCACCAGGTTTTAAAGATCTGATATTCAGGAGTCCTATAAGAGAGAAACCTTTATGTCCTGGCTCCAGTCACCTGACCTGAACCAGGATTACAAAGGTAAAACTTTATCAAGTGGCAAAGTTCAATATGCACTGACTCTGATGCCGTCATCAAACGAAGTATAATTTATGTCCTTCCCACAAACACTCACCAGCTACTGCTGGGTGAACAAAACAAGTTGGATGATGAATGTGTTTTAGGGGAGGGCATGCCTCCCTTCCTTGTCCAACCCCCTCCCCTCCCCTCCCCTCCCCTCCCCTCCAACAGATCGTGCCAGCTTTGGGGGGCTCGGAGGGGGCAGCTCTTGTTGAACAACTCCAATATTGTTAACTGCAAAAAATAATTTGTAAC